CTCTCACTAACTCGGCCTGGTGTCATACACCGTTTAAGTCGGTGCGCTGATAAATATCTGCGAATATTAGGCTTTGATTAAAGGAGGAGATTAGAATAAAAGGGAGAAGTTGATATAAAGCAGTGTGTACCAACCTTTTTACGTCATCGTCAACTTTCGCATGGAAAAAATTTCCACCGCCCACCTAGTAAATATTTAAATGCATACTGTGCTTTATGGTTTGACGGGCACTTTTCTGCCTGGGTAAATTCAAGATGAACAATGCGATAAAAAAGTAATAACAATTTCACATTAAATAAAAAATTATCCTGTGGTTACGTCTTAATTTTGCCGGTAAAGTTGGCTTTGGTCTTCCCTTATCTGATTCATATCCGAAAAAAATATTTTGTCTGAAGTACTATTTGAATGAACCTTACCAAAACTATAGAAAATACCAATATATTCCTTGTTTGCGGTTATATTTATATCTAATCTAGGAATGAGACCCAGATATTCACATGATTTTGTTGTTGTTGTTTTTTATTTAAATACAGATTATTTGCATATCTCTATTGATTTTTTCCGGGTACTATATGTTCAAATATCTTTTAAAACCCAGAATCCAATATCACCCAACAATATTTCAAATCGCTTACCATTTTCTGTTCAGTTGTTCATCGCCAACCCAACATTTGAAATCGTCCACCGGTGGGCGATATCACCCAGATTGAGAAACCCTGATATAAAGCAATATATATATAATAACATGAAGAACAACAGTACATTCTATTTTGGTTTACAGCCTGTTATCCCATTTTCTTTTCTTATAAGATGACAGTTTTACCTCGTTTTTATTGGTAATTCTGTTTTATGTGTGAACATTTTTTAAAAAAATTTAACAACAATCCTCTGTGATAGGTGTTGATCTGCGTTTGGTCCATTAGGACTTCATCGGACAAAAATGATGTTTACATTGATGCAACTACATATGAGTATGAAGGAGGGGATGCTGGAATTTAAATTCTTTCACCATTATCATTAATTTTCATAAAATCGTTCATAAAAATTTCCATAGTATTTTCTACCTCTCTCTCTCTCTCTCTCTCTCTCTCTCTCTCTCTCTATATATATATATATATATATATATATATATATATATATATATATATATATATATATATTAACAGACATATTTACCAAAATTGCATAGAAATATCTTGAAATGCTAAAGAGTAAATCTATTTAATAAAATCGCCATTAGCTTCAGTCACGGCCTCCAGACGACTTCGGAATCTCTTGCATCTCTTCTGTACAGTTTCCTTGTTTAAGTTGGTGAATACTGCCATAATCTTTGCCTTTTGTGTTACAAGGAGTTTTGTTGGTCTCTCGTTCAACTCCCCCCCCCCCACCACACACATAACAATCAAGGGGGTGCAGTCTGGGTAATTAGATGACTAATTGTAAGGAGTGATGTGGTCGCAGAAATTGTCTGACAGCCATGACTGTATTGCCCTGCTTGTGCGACATAGCCCTGTTCTCAGATATAGTCTCTTACAGCAGCCACCCTCTTAGCACACGGTAGCACTACCTTCTCAAGGTAATTGATGTGAGCCGTAGGAAGACGAATGGAAGCGTAACATCGCCTTCACTCCAAATACCTTCGTCATCTCTATGAGACTCATCTAACTCCGTATTTTCTGCAATGTCCTCAGATTGACATCCAAACACTCTGAAATGTTCGTATTAGAGCTTCCGATGCGCATGTTAAGCCGTAAAGCATGACGTTTCCAAATTACAATACTGTGCAGTTGACAAAATGAAAAACAACAGCGTACATGCGTGAAATTATATATATATATATATATAAAACCCATTGTCGAAATTTTAAATGTTGATATATTCTGTAGCGTAAACCGTCATTAGATCTGATGTTCTTTGACCACTCGATTACATAGTCCATCGATGATGGAGCGATGTTGATTCGTGACCTTAAACACAAGTCTTTCTCCGACTCTTGATATCTCTGTCCAGTTTCGTATTCTAACGTAAACAAAGCAATTTGTAATGGGGATGGATTTTTTCTTTATTAATCAGACAGATTTTTGTTAATTAAGCTTTATTTCTAATCGATACTCGTATTTGAGTAGACGTTCCATTTATTTATTAAACGGTATATTTATTTATTTATTTAGGGGGACGCAGGTTCGAATTTTGCTGGAGAGCGTATATTTTTTCTCATATTTATTTTAAACAGTATTTTATTTCGTCTACCGTTCAAAACAATCAAGAAATCCTGCAAAAATTGTCCGTATTGTCCATTGTTCCAAGTGTTTTCGGCCACTACTTTAGTCATTTTTAAGTTTTTTTTTTTTTTTAGGTGTTGTTAACTTATTCTCATGTTTGATTGTTTAAGATGTGTTGTCATGCTGTTTTGAATTCTCCTAGGAACATTTATTTCAAGCTAAGCATCATGGGCGCGGCAAAAATTTCGACAATTTTAGTAATCCCTTAATCCCACTAAACGAAAAAAAGTGTAAAAAGAAGGAAAAAAAAACTCCAGGAGTTACTTCATCCACTCCTCTGGGATTATCAGCAATTGATTACTTATCTGCTTATATTCTCGATTTTTCTTTTTTATATTCATTTTTCCCTTGGTGGAAAATATATATATATATATATATATATATATGTGTGTGTGTGTGTGTGTGTGTGTGTGTGCGAATGAATAATAACAAAAAAGTGTCATTATTTCTACCTCTACCGACGAACAGTGTACTGGGTGGAGATAAGGATGTCAATACATACATACATACATATATATACACACACACACACACACACACACACACACACACACACACACACATATATATATATATATATATATATATATATATATATATTATAAATTAATTGATTTAAAATATGTTTTTTTTTCGCTACACAGTTCTAACCATGTTTCAAAAATGGAAGCTAAAAGCCCCGCATTTAATTTTGTAATTAAATTAAAGACATTAGTTCCATTTCATCCTCAAGCGAATTTTGGAGTAACTTTTAAAATTACTGGGTTTTAAAGACACAGCTAAAATCATAATTCACGTTTCCAAGGTTACAGATAAAACCACTTTTACTAGACTAGGGGGGTGTTTACGTGTTCATTATGTCTGTATTTTGATGTATCCGTTATTAGTTACGTTTTGGTAGGGGGTAGGGATGTATTTTTCAATGAAATCTAACATCCGTTAAATGCATGTCGTCTGGATTTTTAAAATTTTTATTGTTAAACGGCAAAAATTCTTACGGCATTTTTTCTATTTGTATATTTAAAGATTTTTGGGGGGTGTTTAGGTTAGAATACGTTTTATTTAACTACGATTCGAAATATTTTCACTTTTAATTTTTAATAAAACGTTTTCTAACTAACTAACCTAAAGACCTCCCTCTTAGAACAACACGCAATTAAAAGAATCCAATAAAACACCTACAGTATAATGAAATTAATATGTAATGCTAGAAGATGTAAGCTTTTGATTGACCCATGTCCTTTGTACTTACATGAGAAACAATATATTACTAGGCTTATATAAAAAAAAGTTTACTAAATCAGTGAAATTAAGTAGCTATTTTTGCCGTCATTGTCATAAATTTTACTTAAATAATATTTAAATATAATTTTTTTTTTTTTAAATTTGTAACATAATAATTTACATACTTATACTTGATGTGAAAATAATTCTACATACTGTAAGGGATTCTAATTACATTTAATTGTTCTTAAAAGAAATATAGTATATTAAAAATTAAAAATATATATGTACACATGTAAAGAGAGAGGGAGAATGAAAGAGAAAGGGGAAAAGTGGCGGCTATGTGTGTCTGTGTTTGTCTGCTCATCATCTGTGAGTCCATTTAAGAAAAACTATTTCCATTTCTGTTTTACCTTTACCCAGAATATTTGTAGCACAGAAAATACTTGGCATGTTTTCCAGATGTTTAAAGTGAGAGTAGGCAATTTGTATTTTCCCTTAGTCTCTTAAATATTCCGATGAAACAAAAAACATATCTTCTTAAGCTTAAATTCAAACAGCTTTTTAAAAACTTATTCTCCGTTTCACGAATATACATTATTATTCATTTTTTTTTTTGTTTCACGTCCCTTTAGGACATGGATTATCATGGATCTCTACAATATCCTGTCTTTTCATCTTTTACCTTCCCTTTTTTTAATCTGTTCTGACATTGCTTAACACAAACTCGTTAAGTCAGTCACTCTATTTTCCTTGTGTTTATCTTGTTTTCCACTTTCCTCCTTGGGTGTTCCGTAAATTTCACCTGTTCTTGAATATGTTTCTTTGTAATTTGTCTAAGATTACAACATTTCTAGCTGTTCGGTCGATGGTATTCTCACTATTTTTCAGTATAGAACCACATTTTCTAGACTCTTCTTTATCCATGAGGAGAGTGACCAGCATTCACGGTCATATAAAAGATTATATATTACATAGCAGGCTCGAACTCTTTTCTTTATTTCTAAGCAGATTTTCCTACCTCTTAATACTTTGCATAGTTTCTGGAAGGCACCTTTTCCCTTCTGCTTTTCCTGCGCACTTTCAGATTTCTGTATGACATTTTCCGTCTTTTGTTGGCTGTTCATACCTTACAAGTTAGATTTCAACCAACCAAACAATATTATTTGTGTTTTTCCTCTATGTGTGTGGAGATTGATCAATATAAACAGCTTGAGATCGTTCGATCGAATTTTTTTTACTGTTTATCAACCTTTTTCTAGTTATTTAATGTCCAAAAGAGACTGTAACAATTTCTAGGAGATAATAATGACTTTACTGATACAAGCCCGAACTGTTTAACTCATAACTGGAGAAGAGGTTTATTCATATATTCTACCCTCCCCAAGGGTATTTACGCGGAAGTGAATATAACGAACCAGACTGGAAGTGGAACTTGGCCACCTCGATTCCCAAATGGCAACCGTTATCCATTATACCACCCGCATATCCATGCTTACAGCACATGTTGTTCTCAAGCGCTCGCCCCTCTAGGTACTGACCAGGCTTGATATTGCTTAACTTCGGTGATCGGGCGAGAATCGTTGTTTCAACGTGATATGGCCGTAAACAATCAATCGATCGATCGATTTACAATGGTTATTCAAAAGTAATGCTATCTATTAATTTCATAGAAACAACAACATATTCGACGAGCACAATGAAATTAGGTTCGGAAGTGTTGAGATGTTGAGTGTTTCCGCGTACGTGTATTGAAATAAGGACAAACACATACGTAGGGAAAAATACTGGTATATCTAAAGAGGTATTTACAACAGAGAGATTAGTAGTCAAACGAACGCAGGTTAGTCAGTAACAATCAGAAAGAGTATAAAAGTCCAACTGTATCTTCCGGTAGAGAGACGGAAGTGTGATTGTCACCTGATCTTCCAGAACTCTCTAGAACTGTCCTATTAGTAGTAGAGAGATCACTCCGTTCTGATGAGAAGGTGGGTGCGCCCCAACAGGAAGATATGGTTGCCTAGAAAGTCAGCATTCCATCACCTCCCACTTGCAATCGTATAAAAGAAGTGCGAGATTATTGATCCTCACCTGACATCTCGCCTTCAGTCACAGCCATAACGTAGCTTACCTTTGCCTTTACTGTAAATGTTTTCATGGTAATTGTTCTGATGATCTTTCCTCTATGGTACATTGACTTTATGAATTTAAGCGCAATGATATATTGGCGGCAAGGTTTCATCAATTTAGAGTTTAAATGGCTAGATGTTACCGTAAGTTCTATGCTAAGAGTTTCTTCTCTCTCATTTCTCGCTTGTAGAACTCGTTTCCGGCTTCTTGATTACCAGTCAACTTTGATCTTCAAAAATGTAAGTGCAATGTCTTTCGTTATCTTGTATCTACTTAATTCCTGTTTTTGTGTTGAATTTCTTTTCTTCTTTGAAGAAAATAATGATTTTACTGATACGAGTATTACTAATTAAGTAATGGAGTAGAAGAAGTGGCTTCATACCTTTCTCAAGGTTATTTGCGCGTAAGTGAATAGAGTAATACCTTGAGATACGAGCGAACCGATATACGAGTTGTTTTTAGATACGAGCCTGAGTTCGGCCGATTTTTTGACTTGAGATACGAGCTGTATTTTGAGATACGAGCGAGTTTCAGTTAAGCATCTACTTGTTGGCGCAGTGAACGCCGAGCTTCGAGAGTATTTCTACTCGCAGTACACGTGTTCACCTCACTCTGGAAGGATCTCTGTTGTGTTGTGTCTTTTTGGCCGTTATTTTGCAAATTATAATTATTTTACAAAATATAATTGTACACATATCTTATAGAAAGAAGTATATTAGGTCCATTGTTTTTTTTAAATAATTACTATGTGCTTCTTTTGAACAACCAAAAACATCGATATCGGCAAACGTCTTCTATTTTGTCGTGTTCGAATACTAGCCAACTTTGTTACATTCACTTGCACTCAAATACCCTTGGGAAAGATAGACATTAATGCCCTAATGTACCGACATAGGGATTTTTTGAGATACGAGCTGGATTTTTGCCTTGAGATACGAGCTGAATTTTGAGATACGAGTGAGTTTCAGTTAAGCATCTTCTTATTGGCTCAGTGAACGCCAAGCTTCGAGAGTATTCCTACTCTCAGTACACGTGTTCATCTTGCTCTAGAAGGATCCCTGTTGTGTCTTTGTTGCCATTATATTGCAAAATTCCTTTGGTGACACCATCGGCCCGAGGAAAGTAGGTGCAAAGAGCAGTGGTGAAAAGCCAAAACGTATGATTTCGCTTGAGGTAAAGCGGGAAATTATTAAAAAAAAACAAAAACAAAAACAAAAAAAACCGCAAGAAAGAGGTACGAGTAATGGATTTGGCGAGACAGTATGGGCGTTCTACAATTACGATAGGTAAAAAATTATAAAATTTAAATAATTAAATGCAATTAGTTGCAGTAATGGATAAAATGTAAATGTTTAAAAAAATTAAAATTAAGTGATAAAGTTAATCTTCGGTATTGTAGACTATGCTAGCCGTTGCTAGGCTAGGTTAGTGGTTGCTAGGCTGTTTGTTGTTGTCCCTATCTCTCTCCTCTGCCAGTTGACCTATGACACGTCTGAACTACATGGTTTAATACAGTTTATTTCTTTACAATTTTTTTTATTTTTATTGTTCGTTTCTTGTTTATTCACACGTTCTTGCTGGTAAGACACCCACAAATAGAAAAATACCGAGCCTGGAACGGATCGGAAATATTCCCATTAATTTCAATGCAGTGAATTGATTTGAAATGCGTGTCTTTTGAGTTACGACCTCGGTCTTGGATTGAATTAAACTCCTATTTCGAGGCATTACTGTATATAAGAAACCCGACAGGAACTGCAATTCAGCTCCCTGAATAACAATTCCGTGCCATTCTTCATTAGACTATCTGAAAATCCAAATTTACAGCACCTGGTATTCCTAAGCGGCCACCCATCTAGATACTGATCAAGCTCAACCCTGCTTAACTTCGATGATCGTACGGGAAATGGTGTTTCAACGTGATATGTCCGTATGCCCAACCTTACAGCACCTGGTATTCCCAAGCAGGTATTCATGTAGGTGCTGACCAGGTTCGACAGTGGTTGCTGGTATTAAAACCTGTTTTTACACTCTTATAGTGTTTTGACCCCAGTTTGGGGGTTAACTATTTGCCCATAGCTGGAACCCTAAAAGGTGCTACCACTACGGGACAGGGTGGACCTGGGAACACCAGCAATTAAGAGATGGTTCCATTTTCCTCAAAACATCCTGATAAGAGGCCTTGTTGTTTGACGTAGTTTATCGTCTTACTCAGGACGCGGATGTAGTTTATCGTCATACCCAGGACGGAAAGGTGGCAAAAAAAGTGACTGAACTTGATATTCCATTTCAAGACCAATAATATTGCTGGCACTTCTGTGGATTATCTCTAGATATATGGTGGGAGCACCAAACCATATGGTGCTAGTAATATTCTAAGGATGGACGAATAGTAGACTTATAGAAATGTAAGATAACTTCAAGCGAGAAAAAATGTTCTCGCATGACACAGTGAACCAACTTTTTTTTATCAGGTGATCTAGCAATGAATTCAATATAGTATTTCCGCTTCAGATCAGTCGAGAACTTTAGCCTGAGAAGACGCAATGAGTCACTCCCCTGGAGGTCAGCATCAGCCATGTTGATGGGAACCAGAAAGAGGTCTCTCATATTATTAAAAGGGAGCAATTTAGTTTTGGGGCGTTAAAATTAACAAGCCCTCCATTGCCTCAGTTAACAACACACTGAATTTGACCTTATGAAACCGATCAGAATGAATATCGAGATAAGAGTACATGGTTGTGTCATCTGCACAGATACAAATTTGAGAGCTGATGCCATCAGGAAGGTTGTTAATAAAAAAAAAAAAGACCAAAAATAGATCCCTGTGGGACACTTGTATTATTGCAAAAGAATCGAGAAGAGCGGCAATATACAACCATTTTCTCATATCAATGATTAAAAATTGCTTCAAGCAAACGTATCCTTTACTTTATCAAATAAAAAATACTTTACTGGAAGACTTCAAACAGGAGTAGTAACTAAAATGTATATATAACTAGAAGGGGATATAATGATACAGTTTGAGAGATTAGGCTTTACATTGGATGTCTCAGGATCCTTCAGACACCGGTATTTTAGCCACAGGAGATCTCACAACGGAATAGCTCATCGAAACTTGCTGCAATTTGGCATCATCTTGAAAAGTAAGGGATGCGTGACTTGGTAATTCGATTGGCGACTTGATCAAATTCCCTCGTAGCAAATAACTCGTATCACGGTCCGCTGATTTATTAAACATACCCTGCTGGGTGACATTACAACTGTTGTTATTTGCATGGATTCAGTGATGCCCCGCCTTAATGTAAACGATTTCGACACAGTCAAAGGATTTATTGGACAAATTAATGCATTGTTGGAAGACAGAAAGAAAGAAAAAAAAAGGATTGAAAACAACATGCCACCTGATTTTGGTACAGAGTAAGCCTATGACGACCTATGGTCACAACGTGCTTCTAGAATTATCACTTATCTATACTCATTTCTTTCTTTCTTTCTTTCTTTCTTTCTTTCTTTCTTTCTTTCCACGCACACACACACACACACAAGGCCAAAAGTATAGGGTATCCAATGAGGATCGAACTCACTATTCAGCACATGTTTCAGATCCGCTCTCCAGTAGTGGTGTGCAGGTTCGAAACCTACTGGAGAGAGCATATTTTTCTCTAATAGGTTTTATTGAATATTCAGGTCGGCAGACGAAAATAAATAAGTAAATATGCAATTTAATAAATAAACGTCTACTCAAATACGAGTATCCATTAGAAATAACGTTTAAGTAATAAAATATCATCATCATCATCATCACCACCACCATCTTCCCCTTAACTTTTGTAATCGTAGAGAGATCCGATGAAGAAGCCATATTGAATCTCTTCCACAAGGGTCGATCAAGAGCAGTCATCAGCAAATCTGGTATAGTCATTTTTGTCCATTGCTTGACATCGTCCAATCAGTTTTTGCGTTGGCGTCCTCTCCTATGTCTACTTTCAATGGTGCCTTGCATGATGGTCTTGCACAGGCTGTCCTGCATTTTAACGTGTCCAAACCATGCCATTTTTCTCTGTTTGACAGTGGGGAGAAGAGGTTCCCTGTGGCCCACAAAGCTTCCAAACCTTTTCCGCACAAACTCATTGGTTTTATGTTCCTAATAGGACTTTTCTCGTGCATTTGTTGTCAAACGCTTGGAACCTTTTCTTTGTTTCTATCCACGTTTCACATCCATATAGGAGAATGGAGACTACCATCGTTTTGTACAGTACTTCGTTTTAAAGCTGATTTTGTTCCTCCATATTCTTGACAATTTGGCCAACGCTGCCATGGCTGCAGCAATCCTTGTGCGGATTTCGAAACTGCAGCTAACC